ACATTAAGAATTAACAATCATTTCTATCTGTAATATAATTTATGATTATATGTTAGTTAATACATGACAATAATGGAGGAAATTGCCAATTCTAGGTAAAAACAGACCAGGACACAAAAATGAATGGTGGAGCCTTGTGACAACAAAAACAAAAGCAAAGGATAGAAAGACACCTGAATAGTAACTATGATAAAATATGACAACCTACAATTCAGTTTAGCAAGACCCTGAGAGTACTGTCGAAGTGAAGGGAAGATAACTCAACATCAATAAGGTTTACTAAAGCCTTTGGTAAATCTCCATGAATTGGACCATGAGACATGAACAACTGAGCTGAAATTTGCCAAAACATAAGATGTACAGTGTAGACACATAATTGTTAAGATGCGTTATGACCTCAAATGTTATCAATTCCTGGTAAATGTTACTAAACCATTGTCTTTCAAAATGGGACCTTCCTCTGGTAATCATATTCGTTGATTTTGATCCACACATACTTGAAACTCGCTGGGATATGTCAAGCCCGACAGTGGTGCACAATCAAACCATAACAATGGCCTCTGAACCTGTCAAAGGTCTGGCAACAACCAACGGGACCTCAACCACAAACACTTGGGAACGAGCTGAGAATGGCTCTTTATCTAATGATAAAATCACTAGGGAGGTTTACACGTCTATCTAGCAGGTCATGTGCTGGAGGTATGCTGGCTTTTGCCAAAGCACCTGAGACGAAGAGGCCAATAGTGGATGCACAAGTATGTTATTAAGGTATATAAAGCCTTTGCGCCAAAAAGAACAAGTGTAAGTTGGCATGGTATATTTGGAGCAAAAATGCAGCTACCTGAAGCTTTTGCGCCAAACGCATGTACTCCATGACATTTTCACTCAAAGGATTCAATTCGTCGTTTTCAACTTCTATTTCTTTCAATAACCTCTACTGAACAAACCACACTGAAGTACAACAACAAAGGTCGAAAGGACAGGATGAGAAGCCAAATTTGGAGCTAAAATATCACTGCAAGCATACGTTTGGTGCTAAAGCTCATATAACAGTTATCAATATCTAACCAATACTTTTTCTTAAACTTCAGAACTGCCACAGTATACTGTAGTTGTGGATATAACTTCCCCTTAAACACTTTCTTTTGTTCTACTATCTAACCATAACACAAACTACCTGAAAATAAGTGAAATCATACAAGTCTTGTAAAATCAGACAAAAAAAAAATGAACAGGCACTCACATGACAAAAACATATGACTGACAGAAGAGATTGTAAGAATGCAATCTTAACAAGACACAACAAGCAAGCAAAACACTTCAGTGCACAAGCAGGAAGACCTATCCCCTGCCTCATACACAAACACAAACTCTATGTTGACTTTATAACTTCCTCTAGCCTTTAAATCCTAATCTCCCCCTGACCACGCTTCCTTGCAAAACAACCGTTATCACACTGAGACAGACAGACAGACAGACAGACAGACAGACACACACACACACACACAAAACATAAACAAAAAAAAAACAAAAATAATCACACTTCAACACTTCCTGACATGGTACAGACACCCTAACCAACAACTAAACACAATTTCTTGTTTTGTCACCCCTTAAAATGTGAGCTGGAATGTGTACATGTGGATAGGTGGATGGGTGGGTGTTCTAGAGCTTTGTCTACGTAGGTGGAGTTTCCCCCCTTACCTCATCCCCCACCCCCCCACCCGCCTTTGCCATAGGCCGTGTGTGGAATTTTGTAGGCCTATTCCCTACAATGAGGAACAGAGGCGCTGCTCCCGTGTTACAGCGAAAACGGGGAAGATAAACGGGAGCAAAACACAAAAGAAGACGAGGAGGAGAAGACGAGAGGGAGGGCCAGACATAAGGGAGAGGAAGAGACGAGAGGTGGGGGGAGGGAGAGAAGGGGAGGAAGGGAGAGAGACGGGGGAGGGAGAGAGAGGGAGAGGGAGAGAGAGAGAGACGGGGAGTGTGGGAGGGGTGGAGGGGAGGGAGGGGAGGGCCGAGGGGAGGGAGAGGAGGGAAGAGGGGGAGGGGGGAGGGTCGGCCAGCCCGGAGGTGCGTCACACGGCGAGGGGGGGGCGGGCGGGCACACACGACCCTCTTTACGTGTTCGCCCTCTCTCTGCTCCCCGCCCCCCCGCAGCCCTGCCCTCGCTCGCCCTCTGCGCCTGCCCCTTCCTCTCCCTCTCCCAGCGCAGGCCCCGGGGTCGCCCTGCCCGCCGCTCCTCCCGAAATCCCGCAGAATCGCCGTAGAACAACTCACCTCCTGCCGCCGCTTGGACCATCTTCCGCAAGGACTCTCTTCCAGTATCTCGCTCTCGTCCTCACTGTCCTCGCCACTTTCCCGCGGTGATTTGGTCTCTGGCTCGTTGCCGTTCTTACTCCCCGTCATGGTGAACGTGAGAACGTAAAAAAAAGCACAAATGAGCACGAAATGTTCAATGCATTGCGTACATCCTTCCTTCACGAGCGACAGTTAAACACTGACCGACTCAACAGACGTCGAGCCAGACAGTCGCTCCGCAGTGTTGCCATTCGGGCTGTCGTACCTTCCCGAGGTATTATCGTGCGTCGTTATACCTCACGTTACACTTACCCGAATGCAAAATAGCGTTATATCTTATATGACTACACTATTAAAGTGAAACCTTCTCGGGATCTGATATCTATTTTACTCGTTTTGTTTAGTTTCATAATAAATAATGATTCGGGTGCACCGCTAAAGCCTTCATCATCGTAAAGCGACCGTTTCGAATAAAATAACCGTACAGGGTGTGCTCCCTTACACAGAAACGTTGGTGCACATTACTTTGTCATATTGCAGTACTTGTCTACCATGTGTTTCCAATCGCATAATTTTAAGCAAAGGAGCATCAGCAGACAAGAAATGAGAACGAAGTAACGATTGTTCTAAAATATTTTAATGACGCAACAGCATGGGCGAAGGCAAGAATGTGTGGTATGTTAAGACAGAGTTAACGGGTTTCACGTTTAATCTGGCAATTCGTCTGTTTAAAAATATATGAATGTCAATTACATATGGTAATACAGTGTGGAAGAAGACATGCTGGGAATATGATATATAATCTGAATCATGTTTACGTTCTCTACTCATTGTAAAGACATTTGAAAGAAATTTGCACATTTGTGGCCTTATAAAATTAAAAACTAGTCATCGTTTGAAAAGAATTTGCCTCCAATTTATTTAACGCATGGATTAATAATAACAGAATATATAAAATGAAATAACAATTTCGAACTAAACCGTAGAACACAGATAAAATAAATAAAAAGTTTGAAACCGTGCAACACTTCAATCTATATATATACACATCCTCACATATAATTTCATATACCATATAAACTACTTGTAAGGATTTTAACGGTATATCTAGTAATAAAAAAATATGAAGGATAAAATACAATAATTTAGTTCAAAACCTTGTCTTGCCGTAACCACATATAGCGCCCCGGGTTAAGAAAAAAAATATTCGATTTTAAAAACGATTCATGATCTTATATCAAACTCACATAACACGTGTGTCTTTAAGGTTCGAGGAATCAGTTTCATTGCCAGTGTTATCGTGATTATAATTCACTTCCGTCAGACGTTTAACATTACTCATACTCATTACTCATCATGCCTCGGAAATTGGCGATTGAATCATTTTCATCTTATGATTAATTAGGGAGAAAAGATGACATATCTTCTGCAAAAGATGTGACAGGGAAATAAAAAGGGGAAAAAATAACACCAAAGAAAAAGAGAAACAGTCTCAACATATGAAAAAGGAAGCCATTGTCTGTATAATATAAAAGGATTCCCGACATTAAGGTATGTCGTCTGAGGATCGTTATCGTGCATCTGGCGTCCGACTTACTGTCAGTGCTACCAACGTCAGTCGCACGTTCAGCATTGGTCCTGGAAATATTGACAAATCCTTTTTTTTCGTATTTCATTTCGATTTATTTTGCCCTTTATGCTCGAAATTATTTTTTGCTGGTAGAATATCAAGAGGGAAAAGGATCGATCTGAAGAGTAATCGGAGTATGTTGTCATTAAAAAAAAATACTGAATAAAAGGGAGAGTAAAAAGAAAAAAAAAAATTACTAATTTTAGTTTCGTTTCCCAGAAGAGGGTTATTTTGAGTCGTTGTTATATATATATCGCTTTCTTTCAAATAACAGTCATATATCCAGTTCCAGTAGATCTACTTTTGAGATCACAGTTTTTCGTATTCAACATTATTATTCAAATCGATGTTGCTTCTGGTACACCTATAATAACGTAGGGGCTATAAAAAGGAAGTGGTAATTCATTGTTAATATCAATATCTATTATTATTATTATTATATGCATGTATACATATATATTGTTATCATTGCTACCATCGGCATTTTCGTTTTTTGATATAACTATTATTATTATTATTATTATTATTATTATTATTATTATTATTATTGTTATTGTAACTATCGTCATTATTGTTATCATTATTGTTGTTTTATTTTTGTGGTTGCTATTATGTTTATTACAACTATTATTACTATTATTACTATTTTCATTATTTTTATCATTATTGTTGCTTTGTTTTTGCTGTTGCTATTATTCTCATTACAACTATTATCATTATTATTATCATCATTATCATTGTTATTATTGCCATCAATAATAACATCAATAATGCAGTATCGGTTCATAAACAAATCGGGCATAACTCCATATCGTACCCAGATTTTAAATCTACTGAGATCCATTTCCCCCTACGATGTTCCATTTCCCTCTCGGCTTCGCTAGACGAGGGGACGATTGATAAATGTTTTGTAACTTTATTGTAGCAGCAGTTTATTGGGCATGACGTACCCAGTGAACTTTGTCTTCATTCTTGGTCCTCGCGATCACTGGAACACAGTTACTCAAATATTTGTTTCATAGGTATACAGTTTTATTAATAGTGCTACTGCTGCTATTAATATTGATATTGTTATTATCATGATTATTATTATCATCATTATTATTATTATTATTATTATTATTATTATTATTATTATTATCTGTTGTTGTGTTAGTAGTTGTCATAGTAGTATCATTATCATCATTATTACTGTTGTTGTCATCATTATTATTATTATCATTGTTACTGATGTTGTTATAATCATAACTGTTACTATTATCATTAATAATATTGTTTTTATTTCTGCTTTTGTAACCATTTTTTGTTACTTTTACTGTCATCATCATCCTCATTATTATTACTACTAATGCTACTACCAATACTACCACAACTAGTACTAATGATAATGATAATAACATCGTTATTATTATACTTATCGTTCATATTATCAGTATTATCATTATTATCACTGCTATTATTATTATTGTTACCATTATCGCTATTACTGTTTTTGTTTGTATTTTTCTTTACTACTACCATTATCAATATCATTATCACTGTTATTATTATTATTATTATTATTATTATTATTGTTGTTGTTGTTATTGTTGTTATTGTTATTATTATTATTATTACTATTATCACTATCACCATCATTATCATCTTCAGCTTCATCTTCATCATCATCATCATCATCATCATCATCATCATCATCATCATCATCATCAAAATCACCATCATCATCACTATTATAATCACATACTAAACTGCCGTAACTATATATGAGTAACGCTTGAAATGCCTAGTTAGGACCATTCATTTTATTGGCATTTAGCGGATTATGACAAAAGCTGCTTAAAGTCTTTCAAAGTTTATGGCAGTCCATTTCCTAATACCAACTGTCTTAACCTCGTAACAATACACTACCTTTGGCTAGGGCATTTCATTCCAGCCTGTATTTCACCGTTAAGATAAGAATTTACGAAAGTGTCCATTAAGCTGTACCGTTCAAACTATCAAAAATCGGATTAACAAATATTATAATTTTACTAAAATTCGTGGACAAGCTATAACCACAGCCAGTAAAATACTACTGCTGCTACTACTACTGCTATTAAAAAAGGGACTACCACTGCTACAATCATTATTATTTTTGATATTGAAATCGTGCTAGATATTGTTGCTGCTCTTAACATGAATATTATATTTCCAGTATTGTTTTTGTTGTTATTACTAAGATTATTATTATCATTAACATCGTTATTACCATCGTTATTGATTTCAGTTTAACTCCGTCAGTTATATTATTATTATTATCATTATTATTATTATTATTATTATTATTATCATTATTGTTACTATTATTACTATTATTATTATTATTATCATTATTATTATTATTATTATTATATTATTTTTCTGTAATTAATCAAAATCTTATTTTTGTCAGTTCATTATCATTGTCACTGACATTAATATTATTCTCTTTGAAGCTGATATTAGTAGCGTTATTATCAAGACACCATGTGCGTGTTATGGTAATCAGCATTATTATTAGCATATGTAGTATGTGTATCACCGCAATAGTTAATATTATCATTGTTGGTACCATCACTACTGTATTCATATCAATAATGTTATTTTTCTATGATCACTGTTAATATTACCGAGGTCATTGATTTTCTTTCTTTCTTTTTTTTATTGCTATCATCATTATATTTTCAATATATTTTCTTGATTACTGATATCATTATAATGGTTGCTATTCGTATTATTATTATTACTATTATTATTATTATTATTATTATTATTATTATTATTATCATTATTGTTACTATTATTACTATTATTATTATCATTATTATTATTATTGTTACTATTATTATTATTATTATTATTATTATTATTATTATTGTAGCAATTGTTATTATCCTTAGTATTGTGATCAGGGCAGTCATTATCCTTACCGTCATCATCATTATTGCCGTAACTTTACCATTATTATTTATTTGTCATATTTCATCCTTTTTTATACTTTTCAGCACTATTATCTCTTCAAGCATTACCCGTTATCACACTTATTAGTATCATAATCATCTTTATAATGATAACGATTATAAAGATAATGATAACAAAATTATGATCATTTAAATAAATGGCAATGAAATTCATAACAATGATTATCATAACAATGCCAAAAATACGGTAATGATAATGCTATTGATAATAATAATGATAATGACAACGATAAGGAAAGAATGACGATAACAATAACAATAATGATAATAATAACAATATCAGTGACCACTATCATAGCATAGAGCAATGATGGGGGAAAAAATATAGATATATATAAGAAAGGTTCGTACGAGTGCAATTATCATCACTATCATTAATTTATTTATATCCTAGCATTATCAACGCTTTCATTATTATCATCATGGTCATTATCAATATTAGTATCATTATTGATTTTAGTTTTATAATTATTATTTTTTCACTATTACTCTATTGTTGTTGTTGTGATTATCCTCAATATTATATTCATTATCATTATAATTATTAATACTATCATTATCAATATC